GGCTTCCCATATTTCATACTTCTCCAATTCACTCTCGCGTGGTCATGTGTGACGTCATGAGATGCGGTACGATTTTCGCCTCTAGCATCTTATATGCACGTGTTTATCGTTGCTAGGAAATCATCCATATAAACAATCACAGACTATCATCACTGTGTTGTCCGTATATTGCTTAATATGTTGTAATTGACATCTTGGATAATGGCTTATGTAAGCCGAAAGCTTAGATTGTATTAAAAATATGGATCAATATTGTGAATTTCTTTCTTCGTTCAATGATAATGTTATTAAACTTATTAGACGTTATGAAAAGAATTTACATAAAATAAATAGACAACACTTATCTATATTATTTAATGAAACGTGTATGAATATATATATATATATATATATATATATATATATATATTCATGAATTATTCATACAAAAACAAATACATGATTTAATTGGCGAGAAATCCATCATTTCTGAAAAATTAATATACAAAAAAACCAGAACCTGTTTATGCATGAAACGATCCTTGCCTTTTTATAAATTTCAGTTGCATAAAGTTCTTATTATTTTTACAAGCTTTCGTCTGTTTATAGACATCCTCAGGGGAATAGATTTTGTTCTTTTTTTTTTACTCTCAGTAATAAAGGGGACAACGAAAATAGATGTATTGTAATCCGAAAAATGCTATGAGAACAAAACAAGAACAAAATCTATTCTATACCTGAGGATGTCTGTAGGAACAGACGAAAGCTTGTAAAAATAATAAGAACTTATGCAACAGAAATTTATAAAAACAAGGATCTTTTCATGCATAAACAGGTTCGGGGTTTTGTATATTATTTGAATTGTTGTGATGATGGATTTCGTCAATTAAATCATTAACCTTTTGTATTGTTTTTTTGTATGAATAATTCATGAATTTGTAAATTAATTGCACTTTATTTATATATATATATATATATATATATATATATATATATATATATATACAGAGTGTACATAAAGTTCGTGTGCACTTTTAATAATTTATGTCTTTAAAGTACATACGAACTTTATGGACACACTTGTATATATATATATATATATATATATATATATATATATATATATATATATATATATATACAATTCCGCTATACTATCCGAAATAAACCCGAAAGTATAGACCGTATTTTTTCAAATAACTTTTTAGAAATTACGCTTCGGAAACAAACTGAGCAGATATAGCTTTGAAAAAATCTGAACGAGTGAATGTGCATTAAGGCAAAGAAACGCTTACTTGACTGGGAAACAGTCCGTAGCCGAACGGTCAGAGCAGGTCAGATCAGGTTCGAACCCTACAGAAGATTCATTTTACTTCTTTATTAAGTTTTTTTCGAGTACGGAAGCCAGTAAATGAAATAAACACTGTATATAAAAAAAACAAAAAAAACGGAAGGTCTACTCAAATACGAGTATCCACTAAAAATAAGGTTTTAAGTCATAAAGATACGTCGGCTTAAAAAATAAAACACACACACACACACACACATATATATATATATATATATATATATATATATCAAGTATGTGGTGCAGTTCAATTTACATTACTTGAATCATTCATAAAAAAACAGATATATAGAAATTAATGATATAAATGGCCATTTATATCATTAACTTCTATATCTGTTTCTTGTATGAATGATTCATCTAATATATATATATATATATATAGTTTTCCTTTCTACTGTTCCCTCTTTTTTAAACGTATTCACCATCCTCTTGATGGTTCTTCAATGGACATTGAAGATGGAAGCGAGTGTATGAATGTTGGTACCATTACTGAAGGCATGGATGATCTTTTTTCTCTCATCATTGTTCAGTTGGGAAGTCAGTGGAGCTGACACAAAACGATTGTAACCTGTTCTCTTTCTAGCTGAATAACACAAAGGTTTGTTCAGTGATTCTTACAACAAATCGTGTCACGATAAACGTCTTATCTGTAAACCTAAAAAAATAGAACCCAATTAATTTAGTGGTTTGGTGGATATTAAACATTTTTGGGATGAACAGTTATGCTGTTACACGATTTGGACAATTTTGCTGTTACATCCGACATATATATATATATATATATATATATATATATATATATATATATATATATAGTGTAACCCGGATATAAGAGAGTTGTCGGGACCGGAGAAGTCTCTTATATCCGGGTTTTCTTATATCCGGGTTTGGTCTATTTTATATACATTAACAGAGGCGCTAATTTGGGACCAGAGAAAATATCTCTTATATCCGGGTCTCTTATATCCGGGTTACACTGTATATATATATATATATATATATATATATATATATATATATATCTTTCATAATTTTCTATTCTTACATCTCTGCCTATTATTTTTTAAATAGTTTTCTTCGACCTCCTCTTCCATTTTTTCTCTCTCTTGCTCCCACTCACTCACTCATTCACTATCTATCTATCTATCTATCTATCTATCTAAATCTTCTCCATATCTATCTATCTATCTATCTATCTATCTAAATCTCTTCATATCTAGCTATTTCAGTTTCTTCATATCTATTCATCTATTTCAGCCTATTCATATCTCTCTGTCTATCTCAGTCACATCATATCTATCAATGTATTTATCTCAGTCTTTTCATCTATCTATCTATCTATCTATCTATCTATCTATCTATCTATCTATCTATCTCAATCACTTCTCATCTATCTATCTATCTGTTGAAGCTTGGATAAGCTTGGAATAATAATAATACAACACAAAATGTACGTAAACAAAATGTATTGAAACAAGGAAAAAGTACACAATATTTACAGTTAGTTTTGGTATATTCTTGGGAAGACTGTTCCTGTAGAATGGGTTGACTTAATCGCAGTCGGGCAGAGTATCTGGATTGGATCTCTTCTTACTTCCTCCATCGTCTTCCCGGTACCAACCCATATATGGTCGGTACTCCACTATGTAAATTAGGTGGATCGTACCACAACACTATCTATCTATGTATCTATCTAAATTCTCTTATTATATATTTAACTTATTTTATTCTATGTTATCTTCATGACGTTAGCAATCATGGCTCTCCACAATTCCCTATCCTTTGGAGCTCTTAGTAAATGTATTTTTTTTAAATCTCCAGTAAACCTTGTTCTGCCAACGATTTACACAAACTCATTAGGTAGTTTATACTTTGATTTCATCTGACCCTATTGACTCCAAGCTCTCCAGTGAGTATCAAATTTTCCAAGCCCTCTTTCCTCATTTTCTGCCCTAGAAATTTCAGCTATCTCTTTTTGAAGATAAGTATAAATGTCTTTCTGGTTTCAATTTTCTCTAACACTTCCGTCCTTGCTGTTGTGGAGTTATTTCGCAGTGGTGGCTTGTATTTGTACTAAATCGGTCCTAAATAGGTTCGACGTAGAAAGCGTTAGGAATTTGGTATTACGCAGAGTAATCTTGTTGTGGTCGCTGATACTTTCGTATTCGACTAACTGTTGACTACTGTCGTCCGACATCGACTAGTATGTAGTCAGCCCCCCTCCCCCACGAGGGTATCATGTGGCACAAGGCCGGTTTAATGTGGGATCTCCGAGCCCGTGGGATCCCCGAGCTCGTGGGCTCGGCCAAAAATATACCCTTTGAACCCGTATAAACGGGTTCAGTGTCGGCTTACCTCCTCGAACGAGGCTCCGCTGAAGGGCGGAGCCTCGTTTGGGTTCCTCCCCGCCCGAAGGCAGAGAGTTCAACCGATCAGCCGGTCGTCCGACATCGACTAGTATTTAGTCACCCCCACCCCACGAAGGTATCATGTGGCACAAGGCCGGTTTAACGTGGGATCTTTGAGCCCATGGGCTCGGCCAAAAATATACCCTTTGAACCCGTATAAACGGGTTCAGGGTCCGTTTACCAACCCGAACAAGACTCCGCCCTTCGGCGTAGCCTCGTTCGGGTTCCTCCCCGCCCGAAGGCAGAGAGTTCAACCGATCAGCCGGTCGTCCGACATCGACTGACCCTCGTTTCTCTTACTACTCCTACTTATATTAGGTGGGAGACCTATTAACTGTAGACTAGGTGTGTTTCACCATAACACTTGCTTACATGTTCGGTTTACGGTATTCTCAGTATCCTTCTTTAGGACCACATTTCTGTTGCGTCCAGTCGCTTCTTCATCTTTGAGAGAATTCTCTAGCATTGACTGCTGCATAGGAGAACTGATATTCCGAAGTGACGGCTTAGTACTCTTTTTTTTTTTTTTTGGTTTCTAACAGAATTTTACTGTTTCTTCATACTTTGCTTAACTTTTGGAATGCATCTTTGGCTATCCAAAATGAGCCTTCAGATTTCCTCTTCTGTTCAGACACTTAGATATTTAAATAGTTGTACTTGCTTTTGGTATCTCCAATTTGTAATTTGAATGTTGGGCTGTCCTTTTGCTGATAAGAATACGTTGATTTTTTCTGGGGGTAGACGTGCTGTCGTCGTTATTCATTTCTTCTCGTTTTCCTTCACTACATTCTGTGGGAGTCATTGTAGATTCTTTTCTGAGTCTGCTATTAACAATGTGTCAACAGCATATCTTATGATGTTAAGACTGTGGTTGGCAATTCTGAATCATCGTAGGACTTCTAATTCTCTAACAATCGTCTCAATGTGGAGGTGAGAAAATGTATAATTTCCTTACAACCCTTTTTTTATTTTTGTATATTTAGTGAATACATTTTCTATTCGTATACAGTCGCTTTGCTGCCAGTATAATTTCTGGATTATTCTAATATCCATCTCAAATAGGTCACGGTGACTTAGCAGTTACATCAGTGATTTTGAGATGTATTATTCAAAGGATTTACATAATCTATTTATCATAGACAGAATTTGGAAAAGATCTATTTTGAAATGTTTCGCGAATCCAAGCCATCGACGAGAATAGAGGATTTCCGAATTGTCTTATTGCTTTACTAATCCGGCGGATTATCATTCAAACTTTTCACATGCGATCTATCTATCTATCTATCTATCTATCTATCTATCTATCTATCTATCTATCTATCTATCTATCTAAATCTCTTCATATATATCAATGTATTTATGTCAGTCTCTTTCTGTATCTATCTATCTATTTATTTAGTTTATTCATATCTATTTACCTATCTATTTCAGTTTCCTCATATCTATCTATCTATCTATCTACCTATCTATTTCAGTCTATTCATATATATCTATGTATTTATCTCAGTCGCTTCATATCTGTCAATGTATTTATCTCAGTCTCTTCATCTATCTATCTATCTATCTATCTATCTATCTATCTATCTATCCATCTATCTATTTAAGTCACTTCCCATCTATCTATCTATCTATCTATCTATCTATCTATTTCAGTCTATTCATATCTATCAATGTATTTATCTCAGTCTCTTTATCTATCTATCTATCTATCTATCTATCTATCTATCTATCTATCTATTTCAGTCTCTTCATCTATCTATCTATCTATCTATCTATCTATCTATCTATCTATTTCAGTCACTTCCCATCTATCTATCTATCTATCTATCTATCTATCTATCTATCCTTTTCTGTCATTCTATGCAAATTACTTTCGCTTCTAACATGTGTTCATGACAGACGGTCGGACTGTCACCCAGACTCCATTTGCAACCTTCGTTGGTCAGTAAGTCAGTTGCTATGGTATCCCAAGCGCGGGCCGGTTATTAATAGTCGTGTGTGTCGTGGGGACACGACCAGGACAGAAATGCAGTACTTGACTCACGCGCTCAGACACTGGTTCATCGATCCGATCCCAGCACAGCACGAGAAAATCGACGATGCCCGGATGTTGACAAGCGTAGGAGGGTGTGGGAGCTAGTGGGTAGGCGCGAGGGGGTTACGATTTCGCATTTACGCTTCACAGCCAAGTCTTCTTTCCCTCCCTTTCAGCTGAACATAAAGTTGTTCTCTGTTTGCTATTGACGTTGGCAAGCCGATCACGCAATGCATTGCTTTTGTGGCCATTTCAGACCTCGTAGGGTGTCAGGTCCTTGTAACCCTATGCCAAATGTCGTCCACCTTAGGAATTTAAACATTGGCGCCTTCCGTAGAGCGATTATTTAGTAAGCCTAGGTCTGCTGCTGCTGCCACTGGGAAAGTTGATTCACTGTGTCGTGTTTTACAACTTTTTCCCGCCAGAATCTATCTTACATATTTATAAGTCTACCATTCATCCTTGATTTAAATATTGATTCTGAACCTGTTTACACATTCTTATATTTATTTACTTCTCTTAGTTTCGTCTGGAATAATTCAACCATCATGGCTAGACATCAACATCGAAATGTTTTAAGCATTTCACCCCAAGCAAGGCGGGAGTGCCACTAGTACGCAAGGGGTTACTCTCGTAAGAAAAAAGATGGGTGCTTGAGAAAAAAATAAAGAGAAGGACGGGGATCAAGATCAAGTCATCGGAAGATGTCGATTGACGTTACATTTAAATTTATGAATTATCACGAAAGCAAGTAAGAGGAAGGGAGTTCCACTGTGTGGAAGTGCGAGAGAAGAAGCTGTTGGTGTAGAAGTAGTGGTTACATTTAACTGTAATAGCGTGCGATCGAGATGCCAACATAGTAGCACGCTTAAATTGATGCAGTAGGGGCACGAGTGAAAATAGCTCGTGAGAACAGTTGCAAATAAACATATTTGTAGAAAAGACAGAGGGAAGCCATATCACATTTACCTAGAAACTCTTAGATGTTATCGATATTTACGAAGAGTATTTATATTGTTTTAAACCAGATATCTCATTCAGTTGATAATGGCAAACATTCATATATTACTTTGAATCAATTGTTAGGTCAGCTACTAAGGAAAAGGTATTTATCCTCTTTTTCTCCCCCTTCTATGGGTAAATAGCAGGACAGATCGGGTTCCAATGCCTTGGATGAGAACTGGTCTACCGCAGAAAGAAATGGCAACCTACTGCGGGAAAGAAAAAACTCGGCTTCGTCAGTCATGTATCGAAAGATATATTATCGGCTACGTGCATGTCACAGGTGCCATATAACTGACTGAATATTAAAGAAATTTGAAAAATAAATAATATCCACTATTTACATTATCCGGACTATTGTCCTCATCTTTGTCGCACATATTTATTACGTTTCGGTCGTTGTACGCTCCGGCCTTCTTCAGGTGGTTGGAATGTCGAACAGAAGCCTTTATTTCGCTCAATGGCGTAGACTATTCTAGTTCCACGTGCTATATTTAATGGATGTCAGTTGTCAGTTATCTCCTGTTAATTCTCTTCTTCAAGTTCTCCACTGCCTTAACCGGGTATTGAACTCACACTCTTTGGTTTCTGTCACTGGATCAAACTAACTTTATACACTGTGCTATGTGTCCAGGGAGCGAAATAAAGGGTTCATTTCGACATTTCAACCACCTGAAGAAGACCGGGGCGTACAACTGCCGAAACGTTGTAATAAATATGGCGACAAAGATGATGACAATAGTCCGAATAATGTAAATAGTGTACATAATACGTCATCTCAGAAATATAGACAGATACTGAAGAGCCGAAACGTTGTAATAAATATGGCGACAAAGATGATGACAATAGTCCGAATAATGTAAATAGTGTACATAATACGTCATCTCAGAAATATAGACAGATACTGAAGAGCCGAAACGTTGTAATAAATATGGCGACAAAGATGATGACAATAGTCCGAATAATGTAAATAGTGTACATAATACGTCATCTCAGAAATATAGACAGATACTGAAGAGCCGAAACGTTGTAATAAATATGGCGACAAAGATGATGACAATAGTCCGAATAATGTAAATAGTGTACATAATACCACATCTCAGAAATATAGACAAATAATATCCACTTTCGATCTTTATAAAAACAAATAAACGTCAAGTTTAATAAGGCAAAATATATGATTATCAATAAAAAGAAAAGGACAACAGGCGAATTACTAATTTAAGATAACAAAATGAACCAAGTATAAAAATTTAAATATCTAGGAAATGTTTGAACGAAGGGCGCAAAGTGCAACACTGATATCCGAAGGTTAAGCTAGCTATTAAGAAACAGGAAAGTCATGTTATGAACAAAGACATGAATACTGAACTGTTATGTTACATCAGTCTTTCTATAGGACAGTAAATGGTGGACAGTCTCCTTACAGATGAAGAGGAGACAGAAACGTGGTTCTTCAGAAAGATACAGTGAATACCATGGACTGGAAAAGTTTTATGAACAATGGAAACAAAAATGACACTAATACTGTCAGAAAGTGTTGAAATTTCTAGGACACATAATTAGGAAAGTGGGCTTAGAAAATTTGACACTCTCAGGACATATTGAAGGTAATAGGGACTAAGGGAAGCATCGCGTAACCTACATAACCAGCTTGTGTAAACGTTTGGTAAACGGGGATTAGGAGAGACAGCGAAAAGACAAAGGTTTTTAAGAGGTACAAAGGTCAGGAAAATGTCGAGAGCCATGATCGCCAACGTCGTGAAATGACACAGCACATCGAAGCAGAAGAAGTAAATATTCTTAAATATTTGTTTAAATATATGTTAAAACGATAAACTTGCATTTAAACAAAGAACGTAGGATAAAGAACTTCAGTGTCTGTCTATATTTCTGAGATGAGGTATTATGTACACTATTTACATTATTCGGACTAATGTCCTCATCTTTATCACCATATGTATTACAACGTTTCGGCCGTTGTACGCTCCGGCATTCTTCAGGTGGTTGGAATGTCGAATTCAACCCTTTATTTCGCTCACTGGGGTAGACTGTTCTAGTTCCACGTGCTATGTTTAATGGATGTCAGTTATCAGTTATCTCCTGTTAATTTCCCTCAAGGACACATGGCATAGTGGGTAAAGGCGTTAGTTACATCCATTGACAGGACCCAAAGAGTGTGAGTTCAATAGCCGGCTAATGTTGGAATGTCGATCTGAATCCTTTATTTCACTCACTGTTCTAGTTCCACGTGCCATGTCTAATGGATGTCAGTTATCAGTTATCTCCTGCTTAATTCCCTCTCCAAGCTCTCCACCGCCTTAACCAGGTTTTGAACTCACACTGGATCTAACTAACACCTTTATCCACTGTGACATGTGTTCTTGAGGACATCTGTATATGAATTTCTGGGTATTATAAACCAGCAACCATTTTTTTACCGCAAAAAATTGCAAAATGAGTACTGGTAAAAAAAAATGGAAAATACCTATATTTAGTGTATTTTTGCAAATTCGCAAATATCTCTATTATTGTCTTTCATGAATGAGTTCGTGAATACCGTAATTCTTCATGTATAATACGCAATTTGTGATGAAAGTGTGGGACAATGCTTCTACTCACGCATAATACCCTAAAAATTGTACCTCTCCAATTTCATTACGGCCAGCGTTTCCTACTCTTATTAATCAAGTGGTTTTAAACATAGAATAATATTGTTCTAATTTAGTTAATTCTTATTTTATTTTACATTTGTAAGTATTGCTAGGTACATATGATTGTATTTGTCATCATTATGGGGTCGCAATCGCCTAATGGTTGTTTTAAATTGTCGCATGTTTGTGGTGAGTTGTCATTTCGCAACTAAAACCGACTTATGAAACGGCAATTCTTTAAAGATTTTTTTTGTAGGGGTGCATAATACGCAACCCGACATGTGCTTATTATTTTTTTAGAAAAAATGCATATTATACATGGGGAATTACGGTAAATAAAATTCAGTGCCTTTTCTTTTTTCTTCATCGGCCTCTGTTAAAGTTACCTTAAAAAATGGCAGCTTTTGTTTTTTTTTATCATTTCACCCCAAGCAAGGCAATAAAAACACTAAGACGCATGGGTGTGAGAATATGAGAAAAAGAAAACATTATTAAAGAGAGACAACAATAAAATCTAAAATTAATTTTTGAAGATCAACGTTTACTGGAAAGCGAAAAGCTGGAAGAGAGTTCCATAAGCGAAAAGCACGAAAGAAGAAACTGTTAACATAGAACCTACGGTTAGATATCGCCATTTTAACTGTAAAATGATTGATACTATCTCAATATATAAGGAAAAGTATGTTGTTCATTTATTCAGGAACTACCCGTTTCTCTGCTAACAATTATGACATGTCTGTGACCAGACGTTTTGAAGATATCTGTTGATGTATTCATACCTTTCAAAAAAGAGTGACAGGAAATACACAGAAATATACTTAGATTATTCAACATAAAAATTAAGATTAGAAAAAATTGTTTTGCGCCATTATTTTAAGTGAAAATTTTCTGCATATTTTTGAAAATTAGTAACTAAAATCTGGGCCTTTTATAGAGTTTCTACAAAGCTGATCTTTCGTTTTAAAAAATACGAATTTAGAGGTGGCTTTCTGACAGGAAAAATTAATTTCTCGGAAGCTTGATTCGAACACAGACTGCCCCGTTTGGAATTAGCTTACATCGATGTGCCTGTTGAATTACTATGTATGAGATTTCTTTTGTCCTAAGATTTTCATTTTCTTCCCTGTTTTCGTCTTTGTTAATGCAATTCTACGCATCCCTCAAGTCAATCATATCTAAGTTTGTCTTTGTTCTCAGAGCCATTTATATCTAAAAGAGCTCTCAAGTACCATTTACTGTCTCGACACTGAATAAAGCCCATCGATAGACAACTATATAAAGCACTCCACATATTTTGGTATTCCCAAATTAACTTTAAGACGAGGCAATCTACAACAGAAGGCCGTGTAATACTGAACGCATAGGAGATCTTAAGGCGGAGACAATCACTCAACGTAATAGCGTTTGGCCAAATGCGGAGATTAATCCAAAATAGATGATGTCATTGAG